TTGTTCCTGATCTTTGTGGAAATGGGTTCAGTTTTTCAACCATTGAGAACGATGTTGGGTGTGGGTTTGTCATATATGGCCTTTATTCAGTTGAGGTAAGTTCCCTCTCTGCCTACTTTCTGGACAGTTTTTATCATAAACGGGTTTGAATTTTGTCAAAAGCTTTTTCAGCATCTATTGAGATGATCATATGGTCTTTCTCCTTCAATTTGTTAATATGGTTTATCACGTTGATTGATTTGTGTATATTGAAGAATACTTAAATTCCTGGGATAAACCCTGCTTTTTCATGTTGTATGATCCTTTTAATGTGCTGCTGGATCCTGTTTGCTAGTATTTTGTTGAGCATTTTTGCATCTACATTCATCAGTGATATTGGCCTATAGTTTTCGTTCTTTGTGACATCTTTGTCTGGTTTTGGTATCAGGGTGATGATGGTCTCATAGAATGAGTTTGGGAATGTTCCTCCATCTGCTATATTTTGGAAGAGTTTGAGAGGGATAGTTGTTAGCTCTTCTCTAAATGTTTGATAGAATTCACCTGTGTAGCCATGTGGTCCTGGGCTTTTGTTTGTTGGAAGATTTTTAATCACAGTCTCAATTTCAGTGCTTGTGATTGGTCTGTTTATATTTTCTATTTCTTCCTAGTTCAGTCTTAGAAGGTTGTGCTTTTATAAGAATTTGTCCATTTTTCCAGGTTGTCCATTTTATTCGCATAGAGTTGCTTGCAGTAATCATTCATGATCCTTTGTATTTCTTCAGTGTCAGTTGTTACTTCTTTTTTATTTGTACATTGTTGATTTGAGTCTTTTCCTTTTTTTCCTTGATATGCCTGGCTAATGGTTTATCAATTTTGTTTATCTTCTTCTCAAAGAACCAGCTTTTAGTGTTATTGATCTTTGCTATCATCTCCTTCATTTCTTTTTCATTTATTTCTGATCTGATCTGTATGGTTTCTTTCCTTCTGCTAACTTTGTTTTTTTTCTCTAATTGGTTTGGGTGTAAGGGTAGGTTGTTTATTTGAGATGTTTCTTGTTTCTTGAGGTAGGATTGTATTGCTATAAACTTCCCTCTTAGAACTGCTTTTGCTGCATCCCATAGGTTTTGGGTCATCGTGTTTTCATTGTCATTTGTTTCTAGGTATTTTTTGATATCCTCTTTGATTTCTTCAGTGATCTCTTGGTTATTAAGTAGTGTATTGTTTAGCCTCCATGTGTTTGTATTTTTTACACATTTTTTCTGTAATTGGTATCTAGTGTCATAGCATTGTGGTTGGAAAAGATACTTGATACGATTTCACTTTTCTTAAATTTACCAAGCCTTGATTTCTGACCCAAGATATGATCTATCCTGGAGAATATTCCAGGAGCACTTGAGAAGAAAGTGTATTCTGTTGTTTTTGGATGGAATGTCCTATAAATATCAATTAAGTCCATCTTGTTTAATGTATCATTTAAAGCTTGCGTTTCCTTATTTATTTTCATTTTGGAGGATCTGTCCATTGGTGAAAGTGGTGTGTTAAATTTCCCTACTATGATTGCGTTACTGTCCATTTCCCCTTTATGGCTGTTAACATTTGCCTTATGTATTGTGGTGTTCCTATGTTGGTGCATAAATATTTACAATTGTTATATCTTCTTCTTGGATTGATCCCTTGATCATTATGTAGTGTCCTTCTTTGTCTCTTGTAATAGTCTTTATTTTAAAGTCTATTTTGTCTGATATGAGAATTGCTACTCCAGATTTCTTTTGATTTCCATTTGCATGAAATACCTTTTTCTATGCCCTCACTTTCAGCCTGTATGTGTCCCTAGGTCTTAAGTGGGTCTCATGTAGACAGCATATACACGGGTCTTGTTTGTGTATCCATTCAGCCAGTCTATGCCTTTTGGTTGGAGGATTAATCCATTTACATTTAAGGTAATTATTGCTATGCATGCTCCTATTACCATTTTTAAAATTGTTTTGGGTTTGTTATTGTAGGTCTTTTCCTTCTCTTGTGTTTCCTATCTAGAGAAGTTCCTTTAGCATTTGTTGTAAAGCTGGCTTGGTGGTGCTGAATTCTCTTAGCTTTTGCTTCTCCGTAAAGGTTTTAATTTCTTCATAGAATCTGAATGAGATCCCTGCTGGCTAGAGTAATCTTGGTTGTAGTTTTTTCCCTTTCATCACTTTAAATATGTCCTGCTACTCCTTTCTGGCTTGCAGAATTTCTGCTGAAAGATCAGCTGTTAACCTTATGGGAATTCCCTTGTATGGTATATTTTGTTTTTCCCTTCTTGTAATATATTTTTTTGTATTTAAATTTTGACAGTTTGATTAATATGTGTCTAGGCATGTTTCTCCTTGGATTTATCCTGTATGGGACTCTCTGTGCTTCCTGGACTTGATTAACTATTTCCTTTCCCATATTAGGGAAATTTTCAACTATAATCTCTTCAAATATTTTCTCAGTCCCTTTCTTTTTCTCTTCTTCTTCTGGGACCCCTATAATTCGAATGTTGGTGCATTTAGTGTTGTCCAGAAGTCTCTAACACTGTCCTCAATTCTTTTCATTCTTTTTTTTTTTTTTAATTGTACTCTGCAGTAGTTATTTCCATGATTTTCTTTTCCAGGTCACTTCTCCATTCTTCTGCCTCAGTTATTCTGCTATTGATTGATTCTGGAGAATTTTTAATTTCATTTATTGTGTTGTTCATCATTGTTTGTTTGCTGTTTAGTTCTTCTAGGTCCTTGTTAAACATTTCTTGTATTTTCTGAATTCTATTTCCAAGATTTTGGATCATCTTTACTATCATTTCTATGAATTATTTTTCAGATAAACTGCTTTCTTCCTCTTCATTTGTTTGGTCTGGTAGGTTTTTACCTTGCACCTTCATCTGCTGTGTGTTTCTCTGTCTTCTCATTTTGCTTAAATTACTGTGTTTGTGGTGTCCTTTTCACAGGCTGCACATTCATAGTTCCCATTGTTTTTGGTGTCTGCCCTCATTGGCTCAGTTTCATTCAGTGGGTTGTGTAGGTTTCCTGGTGGAGGGGACTAGTGCCTGTGTTCTGGTGGATGAGGCTGGATCTTGTTTTTCTGGTGGGCAGGACCCATTCCAGTGATGTGTTTTGGGTTGTCTGTGACCTAATTATGATTTTAGACAGCCTCTCTTCTAATGGGTGGTGTTGTGTTTCTGTGTTGCTAGCTGTTTGGCATAGAGAGTCCAGCATGTAGCTTGCTGGTTTTTGAGTGGAGATGGGTCTTAGCATTGAGATCGGGATCTCTGGGAGAGCTTTTGATGTTCGATGTTATGTGGAGCTGGGAGGCCTCTGGTGGACCAATATCCTGATTGCGGCTCTCCCACCTCAGATATACAGGCCTGACACCCGGCCAGAGTGTGAAAACCATGTCAGCCACACAGCTCTGAAGAAAAGGGAGAAAAAAAGAAAGAACAAATAAAAAAAAAAAGAAAGAAAGTTATTAAAATATAAAAATTATTAAAAATATAAAAAATAAAAACTAATAAAAAAAGGAAAAACAAAAGAAAGAAGAGAGCACCGAAACCAAAAATCAAATCCACCAGTGATAACAAGAGCTAAAAACTATATTAAAAACAACATGAACAGAGAGGACCCTAGGATAAATGTTAAAAGCAAAGCTATACAGACAAAATCACACAAGGAAGCATACACATACACACTCACAAAAAGAGAAAAAGGAAAAAATATATATATATATATAAAAGGAAGAGAGCAACCAAATCAATAAACAATTCTACCAATGATAGTAAACTCTAAATACTAAACTAAGAATAACATAAAACCAGAAACCAGTCAGTCACATACAGCAGACCACAAGTCTACAGTTGCTCTCGAAGTCTACCGCCTCAATTTTGGGATGATTCATTGTCTCTTCAGGTATTCCACAGATGCAGGGTACATCAAGTTCATTGTGGAGATTTAATCCCCTGCTCCTGAGGCTGCTGGGAGAAATTTCCCTTTCTCTTCTTTTTTCTCACAGCTGTTGGGGTTCAGCTTTGGATTGGCTCCACCTCTGCATGTAGGTCACCTGAGGGCATCTGTTCCCCACCCAGACAGGATGGGGTTAAAGGAGTAGCTGATTAGGGGGCTCTGGCTCACTCAGGCCATTGGGAGGGAGGGGTACGGAATGCTGGGAGAGCCTGCGACAGCAGAATCCAGCGTGATGTTGCAACAGCGTGAGGCGTGCCGTGTGTTCTCCTGGGGAAGTTGTCCCTGGACCACAGGACCCTGGCAGTGGCAGGCTGCACAGGCTCCCAGAAGGGGATGTGTGGATAGTGACCTGTGCTTGCACGCAGGCTTCTTGGTGGCTGCAGCAGCAGCCTTAGGATTTCATGCCCATCTCTGGTGTCAGCACTGATAGCTGCGGCTCACTCCCTTCTCTGGAGCTGGTTTAGGCGGTGCTCTGTATCCCCTCTCCTTACACACCCTGAAACAATGGTCTCTTGTCTCTTAGGAAGTTCCAGACTTTTTCCCAGACTCCCTCCTTGCTAGCTGTGGTGCACCAGCCCCCTTTAGGCTGTGTTCATGCAGCCAACTTCAGTCCTCTCCCTGGGATCTGACCACTGAAGCCAGAGCCTCAGCTCCCAGCCCCCACCTGTCCCAGCGGGTGAGCAGACAAGCCTCTCAGGCTGGTGAGTGCTGGTCGGCACCAGTCCTCTGTGTGGGAATCTCTCCGCTTTGCCCTCTGCACCCCTAATGCTGTGCTCTCCTCCATCGATCCGAAGCTTCCCCCACACCACCACTTGTCTCCACCAGTGAAGAGGCTTCCGAGTGTGTGGAAACGTTTCCTCCTTCACAGCCCCCTCCCTGAGGTGCAGGTCCCGTCCCTATTCTTTTGTCTCTGTTCTTTCTTTTTTCTTTTGCCCTACCCAGGTACGTGGGGAGGTTTCTTGCCTTTTGGGAAGTCTGAGGTCTTCTGCCAGTGTTCAGTAGGTGCTCTGTAGTAGTTGTTCCACATGTAGATGTATTTCTGATGTATCTGTGGGGACTAAGGTGATCTCCACGTCTTACTCCTCTACCATCTTGAAGGTCGCAACTGGAACTCTTATACATTGTTGATGGGAATGCAAAAATGGTACAGTCAATTTGGAATACAGTTGTTTGTCAATTTCTTACAAAGTTCAATATACATTTACCATGCTCTGAAATATTTAGCCACAGGAAAAGAAAACGTATGTCTACACAAACATTTCTATATGAATAATAATGGAGACTTTATTTTTTTAATTCATAATCACCAAAACCCAGAAATAATCAAAATTTACAGCACCTGGTGAATGGCTAATACACTGTGGATATGCTTAGAATGAATACTACTCAGCAATAGAAAGAAAAAAAAACTGATATATGGATAAATCTGAAATGCATTATGCTAAGTGAAAGAAGCCAGATTAGAAAGACTACATACTGTACGAGTTCATTTATATGAGAGTCTGGACAAGGAAAAACTACAGGGACAGAAAACAAATCAGTGATTAGTAAGGAGAAGAGTTGGGGGAGAAGAGAACTAGAGGGATTTTTTTTTTTTGGCTGCACCATGCAGCATGTGGAATCTTAATTCCCTGACCAATGATTGAACCTGTGTCCCCTGCATTTGGAGCATGGTGTCTCAATCACTGGACCACCAAGGAAGTCTCAAGAGAGAATTTTTTTCGGGTGATAAAACAACTCTATATTTTGATTGTACTGATGATTACGTGAGTGTATTCTTTTGTTAAAATTCATAGAAAAGGGAAAATTTCACTTTTTCTAAATAATATCTTACTTATCCTGACTATAAAGTATAATAAAATGATTTTTAAAAAGCAAATGACAAATTGGGCCAAAATATGTCTAACATGTGGGACAGCCAAAGGGTTATTTAATATATACAAACTTTTATAAATACATAAGAAAAAGATGAACATACCAATTTATAAATATCTAAAGGATTTACTCTAACAATTTACAGAATAAAAATAAAAGTAGCCTATTAACTTAAAAATACCTCATTAATTTAAAAGACTTTGGAGGGAGATCAAGATCAGCCAAGATGTTGGAGAAGAAAGACCCTGATCTCACATTCTCTCTCAGGCATACCAAAATCACAACTATTTGCAAAAAAAAAGAAAAATCAATGGAAAAGACTGGAACCTCCAGAAAAGATCTTCTACAGCTAAAGATATAAGGAAGGAACCACAATGAGATGGGTAGGAGGGCAGACGTGATATAGTCAAGTCCCATACACCTGGGTGGATAAACCACAAACAGGAGAATAATTATAATTGCAGAGGTTCTCCCAAAGGAGTGAGAGGTCTGAGCACCAAGTCAGGCTCCATAACCAGGGGTCCTGCACCAGGAAGATGAGCTCCCAGAACATTTGGCTTTGAAGGGACTTACTTTCAGGAGATCAAGAGGGCTGGGGGAAATAGAAACTTCACTCTTAATGGCTCACACAATATCTTACACACTCTGAGACGAAGGCAGAAACAGTAATTTAATAGAAGCTTGGTTCAGACTTACCTGCTGATTTTGGAGAGTCTCCTGGAGAGGCAGGAGGCAACTGGAGCTCAAGCTGGGGACATAGACACTGGCAGCAGCTATTTGGGGAGCTTGTTCTACCACATGGACACTGGTGCTGAAAAGCACCATTTTGGAATCCTCCCTCTAGCTTACTGGACCAGGACCCAGCCCCACCCTGGCTCAACAGCCTATAGGTGCCAGTGCTGGGACTCCTCATGCCAAGCAACTAACTGGGCAAACACACAGTCCCATCCATGAGCAGACAGGCTGCCTTAAGACCCCTGAGCCCACAGCTGCCTCTGGACATGGCCCTGCCCTCCAGAGAGCCCAGGACCCATCCTACACATCAGTGCACAGGCACTAGAACTAGGACCCTCAGGATCCTTCAGCCAGAGATCCTAGGACTCAGCTCAACTCACCAGTGGGCAGACACCAGTCCTAGAATTGCCTGGTCCCCAGCCCTATCCCCCAGGAAGCTTGCTCTAGTCTTGGAACCAGCCTCATCTATCAGAGGGCAGAAACCAGCCACAGGAAAACCTCAGCCCTGTAGCCCACAAACCTGGATCACCCAGTAACAAGCCAAATCCTGCCCCAGGACCAGCTGGGCCCTGGCCCCACCTACTAGCAGGCCAACACTAGCTTTGGGACAACACAGCCCCTGCATCCAATTGTGTCAGGAACCAGCCACAGTTCCACAGTCAGATGCCACATAACCTGGTCCTGCCAACTAGCAGCCAGCAGCCTTTGCACAAGGCAGTGCTTGGCAACCAAATGGACTGAGGGCCAACAAAGCCTACCAAACCACTGACATAGCCTGCCACAACAGAAGGTCCCACACATCCCTCATAGGGGGAACCCCTAGAGCATGTAGCTCAGGTGACTAGAGGGGAGAGTGCTGCTGTAACACATAGGATGTCTCCTACAAAAAGCCACTTCTCCAAGGTTGGGAAACATAACCAAGCCATCAGATACATAAAAATAAAAACAGAAACTTAGGCAAAGTGAGGCAACAGAAGAACATGTTCCAAATGAAGGAAGATGATAAAACCCCAGAAGAGGAACTAAGTGAAGTGGAGATAGGCAATCTACCCAAGAAAGAGTTCAAGGCAGTGATCATAAAGATGACCAAAGACCTCAGGAGAAGAATGGATGCACAGAGAGAGAAGTTATATGTTTTTAATAAAGAGTTAGAAAATATAAAGAAGAACCAAAAATGAAGAATAACTGAAATTTTAAAATACACTAGAAGGAATCAGCTGTAGACTAAATGATGCAGAGGAATGGATCAGCAAGCTGGAAGACAGTGTAGTGGAAATCACTGGTTCTGAACAGAAAAAGAGAAAAAAAAAATGAAAAGAAATGAGGACAGTTAGAGACCTCTGGGGCAACCTGAAGCTTGCAAACAGTTATATTATAGGGGTCCCAGAAGGAGAAGAGAGATAGAAGGGACAGAGAACATATTTGAAGGCAAAGTAGCTGAAAACTGCCTTAACCTCAGAAAGGAAACAGACATCTAGGACCAGGAAGCATGGAGAGTGCCAAACAAGATGAACCTAAAGAGGACCACACCAAGATACACTGTACTAAAATGGCAAAAATTAAAGATAAAGAGAGATTTTTTTTTTTTTTAAAAGCAAGGGAGGGGCTTCCCTGGTGGCGAAGTGGTTGAGAGTCTGCCTGCCGATGCAGGGGACACAGGTTCGTGCCCCGGTCCGGGAGAATCCCACATGCCGTGGAGCGGCTGGGCCCGTGAGCCATGGCCGCTGAGCCTGCGCGTCCGGAGCCTGTGCTCCACAATGGGAGAGACCACAACAGTGAGAGCCCCGCGTACCGCAAAAAAAAAAAAAAAAAAAAAGCAAGGGAAAAACTAGTTACATACAAGGAAATTCCCCTAAGATTCACAGCTGACTTTTCAGCAGAAACTTTGTAGACCAGAAGGGAATGGTACAAAATATTTGAAGTGATAAATGGAAAAAACCTACAACCAAGAATACTCTACTCAGCAAGGATCTTGTTCAGATTTGATAGACAGATCAAAACTCTACAGACAAGCACAAGCTAAAAGAGTTCAACACCACCAAATAAGCTTAAGAAATGTTAATGAATTTCTCTAAGCAAAAAAAAAAAAAAAGGCAACAACGAGAAACATGAAAATTATAACAGGATAAAGCTCATTGGTAAAGGCAAACATAGGGTAAAAGTAGGAAATCATCCATGCACAAAGCTAGTAGGAAGGTTAAAAGGCAAAAGCAGTAAAATCATCTATATCCATAGTAAGCAGTTAAGAGATACACAAAACAATCAGATGAAAAATCTAATCAAAACAATAATCCTGGGCTTCCCTGGTGGTGTAGTGGTTGAGAGCCTGCCTGCCGATGCAGGGGACATGGGTTCATGCCCCGGTCTGGGAAGATCCCACATGCTGCGGAGCGTATAGGCCCATGAGCCATGGCCACTAGGCCTGCATGTCTGGAGCCTGTGCTCCGCAACCGGAGAGGCAACATCAGTGAGAGGTCTGCGTACTGCAAAAAAAAAAAAAAAAAAAACCAATAATCCTAAGGGGAGGAAAGTACAAATGCAGGATTGTCAAAATGCATTTGAAATTAATAGATCAGCAACTTAAAATAATCATATATATATATGTATATGTATTACATATAGCAATATATACATACATATATGTATATATTGCTATATGTAAACCTCATGGTAACAACAAACCAAAAATCCATAATAGATACACACAGACAAAAAGAAAACGGAATCCAAACGTAACACTAGAGATAGCCATCAAATCACAGAAGAAGGGAACAACAACAACAACAACAAAAAACCCCACAAAACAACCCCAAAACAATTAAAAGGGCAATAAGAACATACATATTGATAATTACTTTAAATGTAATGTGAATTACATTTAAATGTAAATGGACTAAATGCTCCAATCAAAAGACATAGAGTAGCTGAATGTATAAAAAACAAGACTCATATACATGCTGCTTACAAGAGACTCACTTCAGATCTAAAGGCACACTCAGACTGAAAGTGAGGGGATTGAAAAAGTTATTCCATGTGAATGGAAATCAAAAGGAAGCTGAGGTAGCAAAACTTATATCAGGTAAAATAGACTTTAAAATAAAGACTGTCACAAAAGATAAAGGACATTACATAATGATCAATCCAAGAAGATATAACAAGATGTAAGTATATATCTACTCAACATAGGAACACCTAATATGTAAAGCAAATATTAACAGACATAAAGGGAGAAAACAACAGTCACACAATAATAATAGGGTACTTTAACACCCCACTTACATCAATGAACATATTATCCAGACAGAAAATGAATAAGGAAACACTGACCTTAAACAACACCTTAGACCAAAAGGAATTAATAGATGTATATAGAATATTCCGTCCAAAAGCAGCAGAATCCATACTTTTTCAAGTGCACATGAAATATTCTTCAGGATAGATCACATGCTAGGCCACAAAACCTGTCTCAGTAAATTTAAGATTGAATCATATCAAGCATATTT